ATTGTCAAGGGCGGGGGGAAAAAAAGGACACATATGTAATACCCTTTGTAATGATTTAAGCAATAAAAAATAAATAAATAAATAAAAATAAAAATTTTTTAAAAAAAAGGCAATAAGTGCAGCCCAGCCTGTGTGGCTCAGTGGTTGAGTGTCGATCCAGGAACCAGGTGTGATTCCTGTCAGGACACATGCCAGGTTTTGGGCTAGATCCCCAGTAGAGGGCCTGCAGGAGGAAGCAGACTGATTATTCTCTCTCATCATTGATGCTCCTATCTCTCCCCTCTTTCCTCTCTGAAATCAATAAAAACGTATTTTTTAAAAAGAATCAACAACTACTTAAAAAATAAAAACAATAAGATTAATAAATTACCAACAATTATTAAATGCCCACAAGGTTCCAGGCACAGAATGTACATACATTAGTGGTAAAAATGATGATGAAAACAATGATGCTGGGGGTAATAATAAAGTTACACTGGGTGCATGTTTTGTGTGTATCATCTCATGGAATCTGAACATAAGGCCACCATGTTCAGCTCCATGGGATGAACCTGTACTCTGCGCATGTCACAGAAAAGGAATTTGAGGTTAATTGAATTTGCAAGGGAAAGAGGAGAAATGGGAAGTATTTGGATTTGAACCTGGCCTTGTCCTTTTCCAAAGGCTCACGTGTCAGCTTGCTTTGCCATTCGTTGCATTAACACTTACCTTTTAAACCAGGGAACTGGGTGGCACTCACCCTGAGCCCCAGCTCTGGTTCTGCATTGCAGGTGGTGAAGGCCTTCATTGTCCTGACCCCACAGTTTCTGTCCCATGACCCGGATCAGCTCACCAAGGAGCTGCAGGAGCACGTGAAGGCAGTGACAGCCCCATACAAGTACCCGAGGAAGGTGAGTGGGGCCGATGCTCGAGCCCTTCCTTGCTTTGCTGCCCCATGTCTGGTCGGGTGGCCGGGAGACGCTGAAACCGAACATAGAAGGAGCATTTTTCTCTGCAGAAGAAGCAATTCAGCTTAGGGGTGGATGCAGCCAACTGAGTGGGATGGAACCTCAATTCCAAAATGTGCTGCACATTCCCCTGAGGGCAAAAAAATCAGACCAGCGCCCAAAGCTATCCAAGGAGGCTATTTAACATCCTTCAAAATTTGAAAAAGACATCAAATCAGCAGCTTTCTAACTATTCCTAAGCGTGATTCATACTAAGATATACATTCGATATTGTCACTCAATACTTACTTATGTACACAACAAACAAGTGTTAACAAAATTATATTTATCCTTAAGACATGCCGTCCATTCTTATACTTTTTATTCTACTGCATTGGTTTTTCTGTTTACAGATTTATTTATTGTCAATCTTCACATGAGGATATTTTTCCCATTGATTTTTAAAGAGCGTGGAATGAGGGGAGGGAGGGAGAGAGGACAAAAGAGAGATAGAGAGAGAGAGAGAGAGAGAGAGAGAAAGAGAGAGAGACATTGATGTAGAGGGACACATCAATTGGCTGCCTCCTGTATACACCCTAACTAGAGCCAGGGATGGAAACTGCAATCCAGGTTCATGCCCTGAACCTGAAATCAAACCTGAGACCCTTCGCTGTGTGGGCCGACGCTCCAACCCCCGAGAAACACTGGCCAGGGCTGCATTTGTCCAATAGAGAAGTTATAAAATTATTTGTCAAGTGTAATATTATCTTGTAATTTTAAATGATGTAGATTTTTTATTTTTAATATAAAGGTACCGCAATATATTATTAAGACAAAAAGCAGGCTATGAGAGAATAAGCATAACATTATTGTATTTGTTTAAAAACAAAGTTTGAAAGGATACCAATGCCAACAGTTAACATTTCCTACATTGTCTGAATGTTTATAGTCAGTGCATCTTGTAAAGCTGTGTAGCTAACAGTTACTGAATATTTACTTCATGTGCCAGGCCCTGGATTCAATGCTTCACATGCATTATTATTTCATTTCATCCTCTCCGCAGCCTGAGATGGTCTAACCATGTATTTTACGGAGTTGAAATTGAGGCTCAGAGAATAGAGTTAATACAGGCAGAGCTGGACCTCAAACCACGTGTCTCCAACAGCAGCAGCGTTCTTGCTTTTAATGTCAGGCTCTGCTGCCTCCTAGAGATAGAACAGGGGATGCGTACCAGTTAGGAAGGGCTAGATGTTACTCTAACAATCAGCCCCAAAGCCACGTGGCTTATTCTAGGGAAGGCAGCTCCTATGCTCATGCCACATGCCCACCCTGGTCTCCTGGGACCCGGTAGAGAAGCAGCCACCACGCCGGGACCTTCCAGGTGCTGTCAGAGATGGACAGAGAGGGTGGCCAGGCTCAGAGGTTCCGACTCTCCTGTGAGAGGTGGCACGCTTCACTCCCCCACATTTCATTGGTCAGAGCACATCACAGGGCTGCAGCCAGCTTCAGGGGGTCAGGAGGAGAACCTGACATACTTGGCCCCCACCATTGAGGCCACCGCCTGCTGCAGCCTGTTTGGGGGACGTGCAGGGCGAAGGGGGGAGTGGGGACTGGTAGGAAGTGACAGCAGGACTCAGGATGGTTTGCTTTCTCCTCACCCAGGTGGAGTTTGTCCCTGAGCTGCCCAAAACCGTCACTGGCAAGATCAAAAGGAGTGAACTTCGGGAAAAGGAGTTCGGTCAGAGGCAACAGCAGTAAATTCAGCATCCCTTCTGGGTGTGACCTTGGGCACACCCCTGGCTGCCTCGGTGCCCCCACATGGCGGGCGAGGGGGGATGTTGAGGGCTGATGGGGAAGGGCCCAGGACGGCCAGCATTCCCGCATTTCTGTTCTTTTCAGTGAACATCAGTCACTACCCTGCCTCCAAGGCTCTTGTTCCTTTGGATGCCCAGGCGGGCGCTCAGATCGGGGCTGAAGATAATAAAGTGCTGACATCGACATCAGGGTGCTCCTGCGTTGTGCCTTCATCATGTGCATGAACCTGTGCTGACTGCGGTCCCTCCTTGCTCTCCCCGCTCCCCCTGGAGAGAGCACAGGGCCTGATTCTCGCTCCTGTTGCCTCCCACACACACCCCAGTGTTCCCAGGTGGCCCTGCACGTCCAGTCGATGTCCAGGACCCAGAGTTCTGGGAGTGATGCTCCGAGCAGCCCAGGCACCTGCCTCAGCTGGGTCCCAGCCAAGGCCCAGTGTGGGCAAGTGAGTGACCAGCTCTCCAGGGACCGGGTTCCACAGGACTCTCCCAACTTCTCCAGACATGCCCCGTCCCTCATTCCTAGGAGGGCCCAGGGGCCTAGGGGTCTTACCCCTCATCTTTCCCCCATTTGCACCCACCCACGCATTCCTTCCCAGGGATACAGGGTCTTCCAGCCCTTCTCCCAGGGCCCAGAGTCCTCCCTAAAAACTCCCCCTCCACACTCTTTCAGTTCTTTCTGCCACCAGAGTCTTCCCAACCTTCTCCCCAAACCTGGGCATGGGGTTCTATGAACTGACCCTTCACTTCATCCATCCTTAGGATGGGACCCCCAGGGGCACATCACAGGCTGGGAGCAGCAGGGGCAGAAGGGGCTCAGCCTGGGGGTGGGGAAGGAGCACATATTGTCTCCTTCTCCCTCACCACTGGGAGTCATTCTCAGGGAGATCGCCTCTAAAGCTGCTGTTTGCCCGGGGGCACAGACACACACACTCACAGGGAAATGTACAGACATCACAAGACAGAGACAGCCAGACACAGACACCCCAAGGCCCACCTGGGCACTCAGGTGCAGGGATCATGGCCAGGCTCACACAGACTCACACTGTAAACATGGGCAACAGCACCTTGAGGAGAACACACACACACACACACACACACACACACACACACACACACACACCAGCACAAACATACTTGGAAACAGAACACAGACATAAAGAGGAACACAAATACACAGATACAATGAGGAACATCCAAAGGGGCAGCAAATTCACACACACACACACACACACACACACACACACACACGAGCGCAAAACAAACACTTCCAAAATACTGAGTCATATTAATTCAACACATTAAGAATTAAGGTGTGGCTCAGTGGTTGAGCATCAACCTAGGAACCAGGAAGTCAGCGTTTGATTCCTGGTCAGGGCACATGCTTCCTGGTCAGGGCACATGCCCAGGTTTCAGGTTCATTCCCCAGTAGGGGATGTGCAGGAGGCTGCTGATCAATGATTCTCTCTCATCATGGATGTTTTTATCTCCCTCTCCCTTCCTCTCTGAAATCAATAAAAATATATATTTTTTAAAAGGAGCAGAAAAACACTTTCGGGTGTGATTACTACCTTAATGTGCTGATGGCTTCTTTGATGCATACATATGTCAAATATCAACAAGCTTTATTCATGAAAAAAGGTGCTATTACACATAAATTATATTACAGTTAAGCTATAGGGGGAAAAATCTGATACAAAAACTAGTAAGGATTTTATGTTGTTGACAAACACATTGCATATATTTTTTACATAGTTAAAAAAGCTTAACTTATGAATTTACAAGAAAACATAAAATTAAAAAACAAATACCAACTTATAGTGGAAGGGAAGGTTACTTTTTCTGTTGTATATACATGATATACCTGGATTAAATCCTTTGGAACATCACCAAATATATGTCTACACTGTATAAAAAAATGGAACACAGTAACCATAAAAAGTGTATGATAAATATACAAATGAGAATAATATATATAAAGATGTTTATAGATATGGACATAATGGACAGAGATAGACAGACTATAATAATACTGGTATTGTTATTTCAACAAAAAATTAATCATAGACTTCTGGGCAAGATGGTGGCATAGATAAACACTGTGCTCACCTCCTCCCACAACCACATCAAAAGTACAACTGAACTATAGAACAACCATCATTTAGAATGGCCTGAAATCAAGCTGAATGGAAGTCCTACAATTAGGGAATCAGGAGAGGCAGACAGTGTAACAGGCCGGTCATGTGCCCATGTGTGGTGGATAAAAATTGAAAGGGATATCTCAGCTATGGAGGTAGCAAATGGGTCCGAGCCCCCACCCAGGATTCCAGTGCCAAGGAGAGAAGTCCCTATAAAAACCAGTGGGAATTGAGGCTGAGGGAAACACAGGCTGCTGGAGTCCCAGGCAGTTCCTCTGAAAGACTCTCTCCCTCTGAGCTCCAGCACTGGGGCAGCAATTTGAAAGGCACCAGAGACATGTGGTGAGGAACTGAATTGTTGAGCATCAGGGCAAGACCTGGGGGCAGCTTTCTGCCAGACTGAAGTGCTGGCAGAGGCCATTGCTCCTTAGATAAGCCCCTCCCTCCCCCAGCTAGCAGGCAGTTGCCATATTTGAGATTTCATCAACCTGGCTCACACTATTTGCCCTGCCCTATGGATTCCAAGGCCCCATCCCAGCCAACTTTCAGGCCCATCCAAGCTGTCTCCAGTTACTTTTCCATATGAGTGATCTGTCTTGGTTCATGATTCAGACTTTCCTAAAATCTCTCAAACAAGCAGTATCTGGCCTCAGCATGCCCTGTACCTCTTACTAAGTGGCCCCAGCCCTGACACTAGCAGCAGCCGGCCTTGGTTCTCAGCTTAGCCTTGCCTGGGCACCTCCAAGCCCCACACAAGTAGCAGCCACCTACAGATTGCTTTGTAGCAACAGGTATTGGGTATGCAGAGGCCAGATGCTACTAGTTTGGGGTTTGTGAAACTTTAAGAGCTTTTAGGAAAGTTCGAAGCATGATCCAAGCCAGGCTGATTGTAAGGAAAAGTCAGTTACCTACAAAGGACCTTCTATAAGATTGACAGCTGACTTCTCAACAGAAACATGTCAGGCCAGAAGGGCTTAACATGAAATTGTCAAAGTGATGAAAAGCAAGGACCTACACTCAAGACTACTTTACCCAACAAGACTATCATTTAAAAAGTGATGGAGAAGTAAAGAGCTTCTTAGGCAAAAAAAAAAAAAATTAAAGGGGTTTGTCACCACCAAATCAATACTACAAGACGTCATTAAAAGGTCTTCCTGAAGAAGAAGACAATGAAAAAGAAGGAGGAGGTAGAGAAGAAGAAACAGAGGAGCATAGTTAAAAGAATAAAATAGCAATAAATATGTACCTCTCAATAATCACTTTAATTGTAAATGGCTTAAATGCTCCAATCAAAAGACATAGGGTAGCCCAGTTGGTGTGGCTCAGTGGTTGAGCATCAACCTATGAACCAGGAAATCAGAGTTTGATTCCCGATCAGGGTACATGCCCAGATTGTGGACTCAGCCCCCAGGGTACAGCATGCAGAAGGCAGCCGATCAATGATTCGCTCTCATCGTGGATGTTTCTATCTCTCCCTCCCTCTCCCTTCCTCTCTGAAATCAATAAAAATATATTTATTTTTAAAGGTATTTAATGCAAATGGGAAGGGGGGAAAAGCCCAGTAGCAATATTTATATCTGATCAAGTAGACTTTAAAACAAAGGCAATAGTAAGGGACAAAGAAGGACACTACACAATGACAAAAGTAGCAATCCAACAAGAAGGTATAACCCTTGTAAACATTTATGCATCCAACATAGGAGCACCCAAATATGTAAAGCATATCTTGATGAACATAAAGGGAGAGACTGACAGTAATACAGCCATAGAAGGGAATTTTATTTTTTTAATATATTTTTATTGATTTTTCAGAGAGGAAGAGAGAGATAGAAAACATCAATGATGAGAGAAAATCATTGATCAGCTTCCTCCTGCATGCCCCCTACTGGGGATCAAGCATACAACCCAGGCATGTGCCCTGACTAAGAATCAAACCAGTGACCTCTTAGTTCCTGGGTTGATGCTCAACTGCTGAGCCACACCAACCAGAGAAGGATAGACCACATTGTAGGACACAAAACAACTCTCAATAAATTTAAGAAAATTGAAATCATATCAAGCATCTTCTCTGACCATAATGGTATGAAACTGTTGTAATGTCCCCACGAGTGACACACAGGATGCAAGATCAAATCAATGAGTCATTTAATCAATAAAGCCGGCGACTGCAAGGAAGAAGGGGCTCCAAATTTTGCAGTGCCCCCTTGGCCGAAACATCAGACTTATATAGGCAAATATCACAAAGGTATTGATTACATCTCAAGGTTTGGAATGAGGAACCTGGTTTGCAAAAAGCAGTTTGCTACAGAAGCTAGATTGAGCAGATTAGTTATCTACCAAGATTAATTATAGTTTCAGGTCTTTGGACCACCGAGTCAACAGAAACACATTATCTGGAGCCACCGAGGCAATTTAAAGTAATTGTGCTGTCCTGGTCTCCAGGTGCAGAGGAATGTGTTTTTTAAGACCAGTAAGATCACAATCAATGGGATATTCAAACCACAATCAATGGGGTATTCAACTGAATAGAATAATTTATATAGTTCAGAAAATCAAAATAACTTTTCTATTGTTTTAGCAAGCAAATAATTACATAAGCCAGAACAGCAGGGTTAAAATATTAAACAGCAATTTTTACCCGAGATGGTTGCTACCATGCTTCAAAACTAGAAATCAATCACAAGAAAAAAACTGAAAAACACCCAGAGACGTGGAGGCCAAGTAACATGTTACTAAACAATGAATGCATTAACACTGAGATCAACATAGAAATGAAAAAGTACCTTGAAATAAGTGAAAATGAGAACAACCCAAAATCTAGGGTACATGGGAAAGCAATTCTGAGAGGGAAATTCATAGCATTACCAGCCTACTTCAAGAAAAATCTCAAATAAACAATCTAACTTTACAATTAAAGGAACTAGAAAAAGAACAATAAACAAAGCACAAGTGAGTAGAAGAAAAGAAATAATAAAGATCAGAGCAGAAATAAACAAAATAGAGTCTTAAAAAACAATACAAAATATCAATGAAACCAAGGGCTGGTTCTTTAAA